GAATGCGACAGAGGGGACTGAGGGGACTGTCCTCTGCTCTTGGGAATTATCTTGCTGCCCCCTGAGTAATTAGGGTTCCTCACATGCCCTGGAGCAGGAGAGCATCTTGCTCTGGTCTTGCTGAAGGTGAAGCTCTAACCCCTCTGCAGTCTCTACGAGCTAAACCAGGGGCAGGTTTGGGAGATTTCTACGTGGCTCAAAGAGGATGCAGCAGCTGCATCCTCCAGGCAGGGGCTACGGTGCCACCTCCCCATCACCCCACTCCCAGCAGCAGACCAAAGCCAAGCCACAACTCCCAGATTCATAATAAGATAAAAACGCCCATTGTGGGACATTCATCAAACTAAGTGAAAGTTCAGGAGCCCTGAGGGAGCTCAGGGAGACAAAAGCTGGCTCTTTCCTTTCTTTAGCATTTGCTAAAAGACTTATGATTTAGTTAGGGCTCTGATTTAGTGGGGGGGTTTGTCTCCTTTCCTCCATCTGCCCCTCCCCAACTAATGGCTCAGAGGAGGAAAAGTGACTCCTACTGATGACCCAGTGGAAATGAAACGCTTCCTGACACCTCTTAGGTGGGCTCCAGCATCACTAATTGATGTGACAGGATGAGAATCAGGGCTGCATATGCTATGGGAAATAAAAATCAGCTAAGTGACACCCTGGCAAACACAAGAGGGGACGTGTCACTGCTTTACAGAGGGGCTTTGCTGGACAGACTGTTAGAGCACAGGGATGGGGTTGAAGCTGTCGGTGCTGATAGTCAATGGTTGTTCCATATACATTTGCTTTACTGGGTTTGTTTCTATACACGGATAATGATGACTGTTAGCAAAGCACAGCTAAATAAGAGCCATAACAACTCTGTTTTATATTGATTAACTGATTTGTACCAAGAAAGAGCAGGTCCAGCATACACCAGCGTGACAAGGTAAGGTCCCAATCTGGGGTGCTCCTACTGAAGGGACGAGCTGCTGCCACTTAGCCAAAGGACAAATTAAAGTATGTTACAGAAATATGGCAATGTTTGACCTCAAAACACAAGACCCTGAGGTTACAACATGACACAGATGAGTTCTGTTAATGACAGGCATGTAAGCACGACGAGCAGATCTAAATGCCTGCTTTGATATGGAGGCACCGGCTGTAAAGCTGCATGAGAGATGAGTTTGGAAGCCCCCCAAAAAAGCAGAGTAAGAAACTAAACCCATTAATGCATTCAGAGGTGTGGTTTTTTTCACTTGCCAAACCTGAGAAGCTTAAAAAAAAAAAGCATCTCTCTGCTATTCTGTGCCCAGGGCTCAACCCACACAAGGCAGGACGAGCGCCGATGTTAGAACTCCACTAGAAAACCAGAGGTGAAATTCAATGTCAAAACCAGGCCTGGCTGGGATTAGACATAAGCACCCGCTTAAGCACTTTGTTTAATCGACAGGGCTGGTGGCTCTGGTTAGAGCTGGTGTGTGTTTAAGTGGTAATCTCCATCTCTGTGGGGACACCCCTGCTCCCTCTGCCCCGTGCGAGCGGCTCTGGCGCAGGGGGAGGGTGCCGGGTTGTGGCTGATGCATTTATTCCCTCTCTCTCTAATCTCTGGTGACTGTGTGCAAGTGGTCCCGAGTCTCTTGTCGGTGTGTTCTGGTTGTTTTATGTGTTCCTCTGTTTTCTCTTCCTTTCTTTTCTATGCTCTCCTCGTATTCCCCTCTCTATCCGTGGCGCTGCCCTCTGAAGCCACGCCAACCCCAGGTACCGTACCAGCCGGAGAGGTAACAGGCATGGGGCAAGGCTCACTCCACGCTCGGCTCTAAGCATGCACTCCATTAACCCTTTCAATGGGAACACGAAGTGTCAGGAGTCTAAATTTGGCATATAAATCTGGCAGGTAAAACCAAAGCCCTCCCCCGAGCAGAAGAGAGCAGGGGCAGGGTCCACAGAGGGGTCTGCAAAGATCAATATACCTCTGAGCAGGGCTTAACAGCCTCCCTGGTGCATCATGAGAACTAAACCCACCAAACCTCGCAGCTGCCACAGACAGGACGAGCAAAAATGAGTCAACTTGCCCTATTAAAGAGGTTTTTTTAATCCCAGGTAGAGCCCTCTCCCTTTTAAAGCTTCAAAATCCCTGCCCTGCAAAATCCACCATATTCAGCAGCCAGCCCTGACTCAGTGGTGCCCATCCTGTACCTGTGCTCTGCCCTGTGGTATTTAAGCTGCATTTTGACACCCAGCAGCCTGTGCTGTTGCTGCTGTGGACCCTTGGCCATGCAGGTCTGGGCTGCAGCATCTGGGCATCACAATGCACACATCTCCCCAGGGGTCTTTTAGGGCTGCCAGGGCTTTTTGGCCAGGAGAATCCTTTGGTTTCCAGGTGCCCATTGAAAGGGTTAAGGACAACGTTTGTGCCACAGCTGTGCATGTCTGCATGCGAGGCTCTCCCTGGCTTTGCCCTCGACTGCAAATTTCTACAGCAGAGTTGAAGCAGAGAGAAACCTTTTCTTGTAAAGGGGGGGTGGGGGCAGAATCTCTACCTGCTTTCAAGGAAACCCACATCCTCAGTTACCCAGCATCAACCTCACAAAGCCCAAAGCATAACTCCTGGTTGCCCAGAGAAGGATGCCCACCTCTTACCAAAGCTGCAGATGTGATTTTTTCCCCCCTCTTTGAGCCAATATTCCAGCAGTGGGGGCCAGCCCTGTGACCAGGCTCCAAAGGGGCAGTGCCAGGGAATGCAGCCAGCCAAAACCACCCCCCGGGTGCTGCTGAAAAGCTTTTGGTCTGGTGCAACCACACTCTCCTGCCCTGCCCCAGGGGCTCTGTAAGAGGTTGAGGTCGTGCTTTGCCTTTGCTGGACACAGCCCCAGGGCTGTCGGGGCTTCCCAAGGGAGAACAGCTTCTTAGGGAAGACTCTTCCCAAGGGATGCAAGTGCAGGACCTGCTCTCTGCACCTCTAGGTTTTGCTTTCCTACCTCATAGATGTTTCTCCTCCTTCTATTTTGTTGCAGTGATCTCTCCCTATTCAATATTAATTTGCATTTTTGGTTTTTTCATTCCTCTCTGAACAGATACCAATCTTTTCTCTACTATATTTTCTCTTCTTAAAAAAATAAAAGAAAGAAGAAGGAAAAAGGGGGTGTCAGATTGGGCTGCTTTGGGTGGTGGGAAACCAAAAATGGATGTAACCTTTTGGTTTAGAGGAGCTCCATCCTCTGAGGCCAGGAGGGCTGCTTTGCTGCTAGAGCTCGTACTTCAGCCAGGGTTCAGCTTATCCACAAGAATCTGGATTTTCTTCTGGTCCACCTTTGTGGATCACCTTCTAAAGTACTTTTCTACTTGCAGTGGATGTTACTGAACTTTGAAAACACGACGTGGTGTCTTTATCCTTCTAGCATCGTACCATTTCAGGGGTAATTTCTTACACCCCTGGAAGCTTGATGAATTATTTTGCATTTAAAGGTTAATTCTACAAGAATAAAGCCCATTGCTCCCCTACTCTATTTTTTTACCTTCTGCTAGGAGAAATACTAAAGAGAGAAGTTGTGCCAGAGCTGAAAGAAGAGTCAGTGACTGGAGCAGCAGGTTGTTAGGTGCTAACTCAGCCACATTCGGAGCTTCCTCACCCTGCTGCACTCCAGCAGAGAAATCAGAGCAGAGGGAGCTGTGGCAGGACCCAACCCTCATCCTTCTCTTGCTCTTGAGCTGTTGTCATGTCTCGTTAGGAGCCGGGCTGGGTGCAGGAGCTGTCCCATGGTGTCTGTCCCCAGAACCTGCTTCTCTCCCTAACAAGTGCAGGGTTCGAGTGAGACACTGCTTGACCTTCAGCTGAAGATTCCACTCAGTGACCTAGATTTTGTAGATTTTTACAGATTCACAGCAAAAGTTGGCTTAAATTGCAGTCAAATGCTCTTTGCCAGGGGCTGCTGGAACTAAAGGAGAATAAAAAGGTCAAAGTGTAGGGACTATCCCCTAGGAAAGGCTTTACCTTTCTTAAGCCAGCCCTGGACAAAGGGAGAGGTGATATGGGAAAAGAGAGGACATCTAAAAAGGGTTCTTAATTACCCTATGAATGAGAAAAAAAATCAAAACTGGATCCTATGCTACCTGTGCAGATAGAAAAATGTCATCAGGGACCATAAAGAGTATTGGTCTTAGATTTTAAGGACAAAAACATTGACTTTTCTCTGTTCCCTCTTGTCACTCCGTAATTAGGACCTTTCTCCTCTGATTCCTATTGTTCCTTTTAGAAAGGGACAGCAGCAGAAACAGAGAGAACTGCTGACCCCTCTTTCAGAGGCAGCTCAATCACTCCTTTCTATTCTTGAATTTCTCATAGCTATCTGATTTATCTTTACAGTAAAGACTTTATCATTTCCTCCTGTTGTTAAAAACTGGGAGAGGGCGAAAAGAAAAAAAAAAAGAAATCTCTGAAAAAACATATTTGGCTAATTATCAAAACTCATGAAAAATTAACCAAATTTCTCCAAGCCTAATTATTTTGTAGACACACCCAAGGGAAAGCTGTTACTACAGCCTAACAACACATTAAAAGCATCTTTAAATAATTAAAGAGCAGTCTGGATGTGTATTGTTTCCTGTGTTTTGCAGAACACCACAGGACAACTCCCTCAGCTGCTCCACCACCCAGAGCAGGACTTGTCCCTCTCTTGAGCATCTCCCTCTTTAAAGACCTCCCTTTTGCTTTTATGATGATTCTTCTCAGTTTTTTTCCTTATCTGAGCCTCACTCAGATTTTTTTGGGTAAGGTTTGGGCTCCTTTTTACTGTTCATTCAGTCACAGGAGCCAAGCTGCCAGAAAAAGCCCAGCCCTCCTGCTGCAAGCATCTCACTCATTACTTAGCCTATTAATTGCTCCAGCCTCATCCCCTGGCCATTACAGCAGCATCCCCCCTCCCCACCGTGCCCCTCAGTCTCCATTACCTGAAAGGATAATGCATCTTGAAGACAGCAAACCCAATCTCTGCCTTGCAAAGATGGGGCCTGTTAATGAGCTCGTCGTTTAGATGTTTCCTGGAAGATGGGCTGAGCTACAGTGGGAGCAAGAGAATGGGAATTGCTCTTGCTGGCTTTTTACACTTAGTTTTCCTGGGGCAGTTTCAAGCCTGCTTGAAACACTGGGGGTTTTGGGGGTGCTGATGTGCCCTGCAAGTAGGAAAGTGGCAGCTCCTTCTCTGCACCACCTCCTGCTTTCAGAAAGGGGGGAGGATTTTTCTCCCCATCACACAGACGTCCCCGCTCGCTGCAGGAGGGGTTGGAGAAGGTGACCTTTAAAGGTCACTCCCCACCCAAAACGTTGTATGCTTTTATGAAATGCCAGCTGCTCATTCCTATACGTAAACTTGAGGCAACTCTTGTCAAAGCCCTTGAGTGAACCTCACTTGGAGAATGCAGAAAAGCAAATCCAGCTGCTATGCACAGCTCGGGAACATCATCCCTTGAGGAAGTATTGCAACTGCATCTCTTCAGGAAGATTTGTGTGATTTCTAGAGTTTCAAAACGAGCAGTTCTGGAAACTCCGGCCTGGCCTCCATCCCACCCATTCCTCCCCCCTTTTCCTGCCAGGAGCTGGGATCTGTCACTCCTTCATTAGCCCTGAGGGGGTGGATGGTGAGTGGGGGACCCCTGAGGTGCCCTGGGAAGGGCTGTTCCCCGTGGCGGGGTGCCCTTGTCTTGGGGGGATGCTGGAGTGCTCTGATCTTGGTCAGAGACAGCCTCTAGCTGCCCTCAGACTGAACTCAGCTCTCATTAGGGGATGGATTTCAAAGCCCAGACAAGGCCCCTTACCGTCTCTCCCCCAAATCTCCCAGCTGAGCTTTTTTTCCTGCATACATCTCATATTTAAACACAAATGAGGCTGTAGCTTTGAATCCCAGGGCAGCTTAGGACTAAATCTCCCCCCATAGCCCCCGTGTTGCCCCCCCCCCATGGCCCCCGTGTTGCCTTCCCACCACCCGGTCCCATCCTGCAGCAGGGTGCTGCCCATGGATGCTCTCCCCATCCTCCCCTCTCTGAACAACTGCTTTCCAGACTCACCTGATCCCACTTTTTACCTGTTCCTAGTCCTGCCAGGCTCATTTTTTATCCCCTTGTTAATGGAGCTGGTGCAGGGACCCTCTCGGGAGCGAGGGCCCCCGTGTTGCCTTCCCACCACCCGGTCCCATCCTGCAGCAGGGTGCTGCCCATGGATGCTCTCCCCATCCTCCCCTCTCTGAACAACTGCTTTCCAGACTCACCTGATCCCACTTTTTACCTGTTCCTAGTCCTGCCAGGCTCATTTTTTATCCCCTTGTTAATGGAGCTGGTGCAGGGACCCTCTCGGGAGCGAGCCAGAGTTCTCCTGATGCAATGTGATAGTCCTGTCCTTGGGAATTGCTTCCACTAGAGTGCTGGAGCCAGGTGGGCAAATCCTGCCTGGCATCACTGCTGGCAAGAGCCGAGCAGCACAGCTCAGAGTGATGCTCAGTGCAGCATCCACGAGGGTCTTGGCACTGCAGCTTCACCTGCCTGCGTCTGTAGCTGTGTGTAATAGACAGAGCTGATACCTTACACAAGGGATAGCAAAGCTTTGACTTATCCCAGCTAATCTCCTCCTATCTAGGGTCTAGAGGAGCATTAAAGCTGAATTTCTCCTGCTACAGCAGTGCTAGGTGTTGCAGGCAGTCCTCAAAGGTGCTGTGTGGGAGAGGCATGATGCAGAGCCATGTACAGACCTGGGATATAGGAGGTTGTGTGAAGTTCTTCCACCAGTTCCTGCCTCTCAGCAGTTACTTTGTGCCTTGTTGGGTCCTATTTTCCTTAGAGAGGAGTCACAGGGGAGATGCTGAGGCTGCATTAGCTGATAACGAGCGTCCACAGTGCTGTTTGCTTGTGTACACTGCAAACCTACCCAGGAGCTGCAGCTTAATCTGGTTAATGGTGCCATTAACCTGGTGACACTAATCTCTTAACCTTCCCCCCTCAAAAAAAACCCACTGAGAATCAGCAGAGATGGATGTTAATACCTCACAACTCGAGAAAAGCTTTTGTAACTCAGAGCCTGAGCACACAGCAAAGCCCTTGATCAGTGACTGGGTGAAAGACACACAGAACAGCAACACTCCCAACACCCTTATTGCCATACCTGGGTCAGGCACCCAAAAAAAAACCCCCCGAGGACAAAGCCCTGCCACCCCTTCCCACACCCAGGCCGGGTCCCCTGCCTGTCCCCACCACCCCAGCTCCCCCTGGGCTGTGGGGCAGCGATGGGCTGGGCGAGGAGGGTGCTTTCCTTGGGTGGCTGTGCTGCTGCATGAGGCTGGCTGTGATGCTGCACTGGGGAGGACACGCCGCCCCCCGGGCACGCCTTGGGGTGGGCTGGGGTGTGGGGGGGACGTGCTGGTAACTGTGGTTTTATTGCAGCCATGGTAGAGAGCTGGACTGAGCGACCTCCTGCTCTACTCTGCTTTTGGATCGCTGGCGGGGTTGAGGTTGGGGTTGGACCTCTTTGGGGGTGGACTTGGTGAAAAAGAAAGCCCTGGCTTGGTTCTGAGATGCCTTTTTAAAGTACTTTCCTAGAGCTATTTCTGTTGGCGGGTGATATTTAAAATAGCCAGTTGCATTTGCTCAGCAGGGGGATTTGTAATCCCTTGATCTACAGTAAGAGTAAGTAAATACAATTTAATGCAAGCAGCACAGGGTAAATCTCAGCTCATTTACTTTAGGTATTTTAAGCAGCATTTCAGCTGCATTTGCTGCTGGCAGGGTTTCAGTCCCAAGCCAATGGACTCCTCTTTGGTGGTGTTCAGGACCCTCCCAGCCACCCTGTGGGCTGCATGCCTAAATTTTTCCCTTTGCTCTGGAAACACAGCACAGGCAAGATGTGGACGGGGAGGGCGGGGGCTGTTTAGAAAATAAATTGCTCAGACTTTACCCCCTGGACAGCTTGGGGTGTGCCAACCCTTTCCTCCTAATTTAAATGTAAATTGTGAGGGGCAGCGATGGCAAAGTCCCATCCATCACTCAGCCACGAGCTGAACTGCACGTTAATGGTAAAGCTGCCCCATCACCCCACTGCAGTGTGAGTACAGAGAGCAGCCAGGGAGGGGACAGCCAAGGAGCTGCAGGTCGAATTAGCAGCTCAAAAATGCTGGAGGTGTAGTCCAGAGGCTGCTGTATTACTGTAATTGTGGTTTGCCTGGCCCAAGACGAATGGGATTATTCTGTTTTCTTAAGAGACAAACCCTGTTTCTTACTCTCAGTGCAGAGCTGCATGGTGGGGGGAGGCTGATGGCAGCCTGGGGATGGCATGCCCCCCAAAAACCCCTCTTCTGCCTCCTGCCCTGCGAGCTAAGCCCAGGGTGCTGGGGGGCACCGGTGGCAGAGCAAAGGCGAAAGAGGAGCAGGTCGTTCAGCCCTGGGAAGGGGTCAAATCGGGGCTGTGGGCAGCGGGTGTGCAGGAGCAGCTTGCTGGGGGCAGCCCCCCCATTTGCAGGTGGATGGGCTGGGGAAGAGCAGTTGAGCCTCGTGTCTCCTGGCACCATTCACTGCCCCCCTCCCCAGCCCCCCAGCTCTGGGCCGTGGCTGCTGCTTCCCCTCCGCCTCCTTTAAAAGCCAGTGTTTCCCTCTCCCAGCTCCAACTGGGCTGCCTCCAACTACCATCGATCTAACCAGTCCTACTACAGCCACCCCAACTACCACCACCACCGTCACAACTACCACCACCACCGACACAACCACCACAACTACCACCACAACTACCACCACAACTACCACCACCACTCCAGCCGCCACCGCCGCCAGCACCACGGCAGCTGCAGAGAGGGCTCCGGCAGCCACCACAAAGCAGGAGTTGGGTACTACGCTTTCCTTTTCCTCTAACCCCTCTAACCCTACTAGGACCTTCCCCGCATCCTGCTCAGAGCCAGGATTAACAGGCACAGGCACGTTTGGAGCCATCCCACGCCCTGGGAATGGCTTTGGGAGGTGGCACAGGCTCAGGAAACGAGGGGGCTCCTCATGTTTTGGGGGTGTCTCAGTGTCACCCTCCTGGTTTCAGTCTCAGAGGTGACACAGCCCTCCCCAGGGTGTCAGGATGCTGAATTAGCATCAGTGTTGGGGAAGGAGGTGAAAGACCCTACCAAAATATTCTCTTGTATCTTATTGCCATTAAAAAGGGTTCTGTTGCTATTATAGAAGGCGTCACTTTGAATTTAGCACATCCAGTGTTAGCTGAGAGACCTGTCATCGTTTATACGAGGCTTTTGGTTTATGCTGCTGCTCTTTGTGAGAGCCACAGCCCACAGGAGAGCTGGGAAAGGCTTTCAGCTACAACACCCAGGTGTGTGCCAGGTATTGAGCAGGTCAGGATAAACTTCTAGGATGGGAGGAGCAAAGTCTGGTTTGGTGGAGGTGTATTCTTCACTATAGGTGTTTTACTGAGAGATACAGAGAGATGTGTCTCCCTGAGCCTTGTTTCCAAAACACTCCTATGGTGGTACCTACAATTGTTAAATATTTATGGATAGGTATATTCAGATTATTCAAAAATGTATCAAGCTAGTAACAAAAGGAAAGACCAAATAATTCAGCTGCATAGCTGGGTAGGGCACACTCAAAAATACAAGTGCAAAAGCTGCAGCAACCCTCATTAATGCTTCATAAGGAAGGCAAGGAGATAGTGGTAATAATGAATATCAAAAGTTGACACCCATTGAACTCAAGGAATTTCATTAAAGCACTTCAGAGCCCTTTCTTTATATTCTTGCACAAGATTAGCTCAGGATGGTTCCAAAACCACACGCTGGGAGGACCTGCCTCCACCTGCTAGTCGGTAGTAAACCAGATTTGGGAATCAGCAGCACAGTTCCTGCTCTGCACTGATTAAAGACACAGACCTGAATGAGGAAACAGGAATTTGTGTTCCAGAGGAGTCTTAAGCTGCTCCCTGCACATCGAGGGAAGCACGCAGAGAGCTGCACTGCCACAAAAATCAGCTTAAAAACCACTGCAAGGGCAGGAGATTGCTGCCACAGCGTGGTCCCTGTGAAGTGACTAAGTGGGAAAACATTGCTCGTTGAAAGCAGGCAGTGAGGAGCTGAGGGAGGGACTGCCACAGAGCAGGGAGAGGAGCTGTGAGAGGGGCTGGGTGTCCCCTGAAGCTCCCTGGGCACACGGGAAGAGGCTGAGCTGTAATGTGGGCAGACAGGGCAACCACCCGGCAGCACAGGTCCCATTGGAGCCAGGGATTCTAGGTCACGGCCCCAACCCCACAGCATCAGGTCCTGAAGTCCCTAGGATTCAGAGGTGGCCACAGAGGTGGTCTCAGCCCAGGGACTGCAGTTATTCACCCATATTTTGTCAAACTAAAACATGAGCTACGCCCTGAAGTAAATCATACTAACAACAAACCCAAGGTGTAACTCACTCGACGTCTCTTAACCACCCACTACACCCGTGGATTAGCTCTGCTTCACTAGAAACCAAGTTCATCCGCTCTCCAAAGCAACGTCGACAACCCTTAACTTCAAAATCAGAAACGAGTGACTTCATTGCCCCACTGGCTGTCTCTAGACCCAGTTACACAACAATATTCTCTCCTGATCTCTCCTCCTCGGCTGTGGCAGTGAGTCCGTGGGCACTCGTGCACGTGTCTCCCACGGCTGTTTGGGCAGCAGTTGAGTCGGGAGATTTCCCTGCTGAGTGAAATCCTCCAGGATCTGCCTCAGAAGTCTTCAGACTCCAAAAATAAGCTGGGTGAGGTTGGACTTCAAACACACAATGAGCTCCCCCTACCCAACCTCCCCCAAAAGTTTAAAGGGTCTTGAAAGGAACAAGATGTTCTTAGGCTCACTTGTTAAGAGCAAAGCGTTCCCCTCAGGGATTATTTTGTAAGGTGTTGTTTTTTACCAACACCAAATGCTAGATGAGATCTCATTCGTGTGTAATCCAACATACTAACTCCTCTTCTAACCTGTCCACCAGCCACCAATGGATCGTCCATATGGGACATAAGAGCTATGGCTAATAGTAACTGGGCAAACATCACCTGGAGCCACAATTACTCGGCAGGAACTGACTTTGTGGTTAAGTATATCACCAGTAAGCATCAGATCGCGTGGGGACTCTACAGGGTGGTGATGCCACTAGAGATCCTGCCAGCTCCCACAGTTCCAGCCTGTTATTGCCTGTGGAATGATGCTCTATGGCCACGGGGAGGGTGGGAGAGGAAGAGGCAGGGCCATGGACATGGCTGCGTAGAGTGCACCAGAGTTAATCCTGGTGATTCTCAAGTGAATCCCTCTCCTTGCATCGTTGGCCATGAGATGTTTATGAAAAATACATGAGCCAGGCTGTTCATTCATGAGCTGGGCTGTACGTGGTCACCACGTAAAGAGCCTTAAATATCTATATATGTAAAAGGGGACCAAACTTTATGAGGAAACAAATGAAATCAACATAAATTGGAGAGCACTTTTAAACACCTTTGAAGATGGGCTCCTTGAAACTGGAGTTGGCAGAATCATCTATGTTCCCAAACCTCCTGTCGTATTGGATATCGCTGTCTCTTAAAATTGCAAGGCTACGTACTTAGTCTGGGAACTCAAAGCCAGTAGCTCTGGGTTTAGTACTTGTTTAGAAAGGTGTTTACATGTTGGTTGTTTCTTTGTAGATAGGCAGTGATGAGTACTGCTTATCTCTGACTTTATTTCCCAGCCATTTCAGCCTCACATCATCTGGTGTGCCAGTCTTAAATCGGCATTTAAAATAAGCCAGCTAGGCATAATCACTGACAGCTACCCACTTTTTACAACATCTCTTAAGAGATGACCTTGATTTCTCCTTGAAACCATTCCTAACGTGCAGCCAGTGCCTGGTCTCGCTCCACAGCCTCTGGCAGCTGGGCCAGGCTCAGCCTTCCCTTCTGAACCGGTTTCCATAATTCAGGACATGCAACAGCTTTCCAAGTATCCCAGCTCCCACACCACCCCCTGCCAGCCTTGGTCCATCCCCATCCCCAGGAAGCACAAAGCCCAGGTGATGTCCTCCCAGAGCCCCTGTGCCACGTCTGGGCTCAGGAGGGGCTGCAGCAGCAGCAATGCCTTGGGATAACCTTACCAAGAGGGTGGAAATCTTGGAGATTTCAGCCCTTCCCGACCAGCTGGGGCTCTCCTCCCTTGCTGGTGGTGTTTGAAACAAGCAGCTTTGGCCCCAAAGCCACATTTCTCCTTCCCCACA